AAGGTTTGTCTCCGTCTTTCTTCTATGTCCTTTTTAAATAAATTTAAGAAAAACAGTCATTAGCCTCTGGCATAGCAAGACATTAAAGTGTATCTGTTTTCATTTTCTTCAAGGATGATACATAAATAAATAAAATCTCTGTCTTATGAACTCAGCTGTAGAGAAATGAATAGTCAACTGAACTGATCCACAGTGAAAAGGCAGTCGTGAGATCAACAACCTTTGTTAAATGCTGAAAGTTTACCACCTGCAGGTTCCCCGTCCACCTTATCTGCACAGCTGCCTGATACTGTATCAGACCAGCAAAGTGGCTATTTAGCAAGGATTCTATGGTAACGTGGATACTTTCTGGTACATTTACATTATAAAATATCTCCTAAAGAGTTCTGACAGTAGCACAACAGTTTCAATCATTTGAGACGAAGGTGATGAAATTTCCAATGACAATAGTTTCATAGTTTTCCTTTCACTAGTCCGCAAAGAGCCTCCTAGAACTGCCATCTCCCCGACATACATCAGCATCGTGCACAGGGTATTATATGGAGGTATCAGTTTAGTTAGTTCTGGAATATTTCAGATGAGCTTCACATGAGAAGAGGTGCCTGTCACACATTTTTTCTGGGACAGAGAAACAAATTTGATTGTTCATATTCTGAACTGAAATCCAAATAAAAAGATTAAGAGCTTGAAAACATTTCATATTTTGTTAATTATTTTAAACTGATTGTTTCTACCATACCTCTGCATTTTCTGCTGCTAAATAAATAAATAGTGTAAATAGAGATAGCTCTTGTACTATTGGAAAAAAACCCAAAGGACTTAGTAAAATTTAGAGAAAATCTTCTGTAACACAGATGAAAGATGGCTTGTTACTGGAACTGTTTCTCTAAATGGTAGGGATTTGGCTAATGCAACTGTTGGCCATGTCACAATAAATGCATTAAACCCACCAATGTAAACTACAGCTCTTCAGACAAAGGGTAGTATAAATTGCAAAGCAGAACTTATCTGTCAGAATTATAATGCTCTGGAGAAAACAGAGTAGATCAGCTCCCTGAGCAACAGAAGGCTTTAAAATGTACTGCTTGTGTTCTTACTAGTCAGGTACAGAAGTCAAAGCCAGCACTTCAATGACATCAGATACATCTTATTTTACCCACTGGCTTTTGGATGTGTACAACAGTGAGATACTACACAACAGTGAGATATCAAACACATCTGAATATCAGCTAAAGAGTTGAAGAAAAAAAAATGCATCCTGCACTGTCTATTGGATGAGTCTGTACAGCAGCAGATACAGAATAGCCGAATTACCGGATTCATTGATTTTTCTTTGACTATAGAACACAGATTTTACTAGAACCATGTGTTAACAAGTTCCATATGAAAGCAGCTATGGTCTTTGTCTTTTATCTATTTTGCTTATCAATTCTTTCTTAACTATGAACCTCTTACCACAAGGTTGATCTGAGATTCATGCCTCCTGGCAAGGTCAATAATGTTCACTTCGTTATAATAAATATTTTCAAAACACCCCTGAAAGTTCCTGTGTGACAATGTCTCTGATTTTCCAGGCACTGGGGTCCCTCCAAAGCTGAGCTTAGAAAGAGAAGAGAAATGAATGATACTATTAAGTAATTTTCTAAGGCAAGAATTTGCCAATAGCATAAGAGCAGAAGTCAAACACTGGCTAATAATGAATCTGCTACTTGGTTATTTCCTTGTATTGCATCTACTTATTAAAAGAACTAGATAACAAAAATTACGCTATATCAAGTCATATGTACATCTGAAATACTGTCTCTTTTTTTTCTTCTGAGGATGGCTCTAAACAGTTGCTTAGCATAGAGTCTTATCAGTTTTCAGGGTCCATTACAGCTGCAAAACCAAGGAGAGGAAGGACAAGGTCCAGTATACACAGACCATGTTGGACAGCATTAAAAAGAAGAACATTTACTAACAACTTCTTCAGGAAGTTTGAGCCTGACTTCTCCACTGTGCAAATCATAAATACCATAATAGAGAACAAGAGTGCATCAAATTAAATTACTCTAGGGCAAATTCAAACAAAATGAAGGGACATACTTTTCCTTCTCAAAATGCTTAAACTGTGCAGTTCTTTGAAGTGATGCTGTAGGTTTACTTGATTTCAGAAAGAGATTGGAAGATTTAATAAAACTAAAATTCCATCAAGACCTATTAAATTCAAGAATATCACTCTGTCTTAGTAAGTCCCTGAAGCAGAAACTGTTAGAAAGCACTAGGTTATTTTAAAAAAGCATTGCCACAAGGGTGACCTGAGTTATACTCAGGTATATGTTTCCACTCTTGGGCACCATCAGAAACAGGATGCCAGTTTAAGTGAAGTTTTGAACTCACCCAATTCATAGCTATGCCAGTTGACATTGTAGAAAAGGTCAGTTTAAACTATTTATCTTTCAATTTTGAGATTTTACTTAATATTCAAAATCATTTTATTAAAAAAACTAAAAATTAAATATATCATGTTTCATTTAGTTATTAAATTGATAAATTTTTGTAGTCAGAAATACAAGTTTAAATACAGTGGTTCATACTTTTTTGGAAGTCTTTAGGCTTTTTTTCCCACTTTTGCTTTCCTTTCTACCTTGTATTAGTAATACAATAACTATAGTATGGGTAAGAGTGTAAAAACTAATTTGCAATACTGGTTAATTTAGTAAACTAAATCTATTTACTGATCAGTTAAAACTAACATTTGCTTTTCCCTTTTGGTTTTTTTTGTTTGTCTGTTTGTTTGTTCGTTTTTTTTTTAATTGGTACGATCCTCCAAGCCTTGGCATTTTGGCTCAGATTGAGAAATCTAAAGCAGAAACATTACTTTAATCTTGTGAATGATAACTTTGAAATGGGATAATGCAGATACAGAACAGCATGAAATCTTACTCTAGACTACTTAAAAACTCGAATGAGTAGAATAAAGTAATTTAGACCTGTGGGTTCCAGACACTTTGTCCTATCACTCATTATCTCATCCAAGAAACAGGACAGAGGCAAACATAAAGCAGCCAGTCACCACATTACAGCTGTGAAATAATTGTATTTTTAACCATAGGTGGGAAACTGTCACAGCAATTTACATCTAGTCCTTTTCATTAATGTACCATTTGTACAAGCAGATTTTTTCACAGTACATTTGCAAGATTTAACAAGAATTTAAGTTTTAATCTAAACATTTCTAAAATAATTTTATGTTGATTTATTATAATTTTCTTCAAGCCATAAAATCATAACTTTGAGTTGGGGCTCATCCCTTATGTTTATATGCTGTTTACCACATTTGCAACACTAATGAAACAAAGATATTAAAATAATGAATTCTGAAATGAAAAAGATGGTCTTTTGAAAATTTTGAGTTGTAACTCTAGTGGAGCATGAGTAATCTAAAAATATTTTTCTTTGATTCATTCCTTTAGGAGACAGAAAATCCCTTAAGTCTTAAGTGCTACAAACTTAAGTTCTATCTCCTTTGCTTGTTTCACTTCATTTACATAACAAAGTTAATAAACGTAATAAAGGAAAGGTAATTTTCACACCTCATAATCAAGGTCCAAATAACCGAATTCCCCTTTTGCATGAAAATGGTGACTATGTTTATCCACTGTAAAGTTTACTTGATTGTTAAAGTGCTCAATGAGAACAGAATGCCAGTGTTGGTCATCCAAAAGGCTGCCCAGCGTAATATTAATTGGGGCATTAGAAGGATGAGTTTTAGTATCACCTTGAAAGAAAAAAAAAATTATTAATTCCACAGAAGAACATAATTATTCAAATATATACTGCTAGTTTATCATACACCATACATTAAAATCCACTTAGCAAATTAAAAGATGTTTTAATCAAAAAATACCTAATAACCTTACTAGATTTTACGAGAGTGTAGCTATTACCTAAATTAATGAGTAGGGACAGCTTCCCTTTTATTAATTCCAGGATGATATGGTCTCCATTTTTTCCTTCTCTGTGGAGGAGAATTCCATCACTTTGCATTGTCTTAAACTTCAGAGAAATCACATCTTTCAGTGCATTCACAGGGTTTTGATTAAATGTGTAAATTAGGCAACTTTTCCCATCAAAGCCAACCACCTCGGACCCTAGAAGTAAAGAAATGAAAGACAATGTATAATGTTATGTCTAAAATAAACACTTTAATGTTACTTCAACACGATACGAAGTCCCACCACTAACACACTTAAATTTGCCTGTCCCCAATAAACTGTAGCTTATTTCTCCTATTCCTGTTCTTTCTAAAATGTTAAGGCTGTCTTGTTTTAAAGATGATGCTATCACTAGATAATAAAGCAAGGTGAGCAGAAGACATCTGCCTTTTATTCCAGTCTAGTCCTAATCTTACATACTGAAGGTCTTCCTTGCCTTAGAGCCATAAAGTACTTTGAATACTTCTATTCTTACTGTATTTTTAAGGCGAGAATTTCTATTAATTTACCTGCAATCAATTACAATTTAAAAAGTAAAGAAGATAAATATTATGTCCATTACAGTTAATTGATTTTCAGGGACTTCATACAGGCTGTAGATCTATACCACTAATAAAAACAATCTGGATATTGGTAAAGTAATTCAAAATAATATCATAGTATACTATTCTAGGGAAGAAACAAACATATTCTAGAATGAAAATCTGTCAGCTGTCAGTAGGGCCTGGCTCTCTTTATAATTTTTTTTTTTTTAACTAGCATCATAAACAAATTACAACTTTAACTGAGTTGAATTACTGTTTTAATACTGGAACACAGGTCTTTGTATTGTCAGTTTTCCAGTATGGGTATCACAGAATTATTCAATAGTTGAGGTCATGCAGGTCTGGAGATCATCCTGTCTAACCTTGCCACTCAAAGTAGGGTCAGGTCCAGCAGGTTTCTTAGGGCTGTGTCCAGGTTTTGAGTATTTCCAGGCATAGAGAATATACCTCTCTAGGCAATGCTTGTCAGTATTCAACTGTCCTCACAGGAGAAAGCCTTTTCAGGTCATGCTAATTTCCTCTTGTCCTGTCACTGGACATCACTGAAAAGATCCTGGCTCTGTCTTCTTTACACGCCCCCATCAATTATTAATACACATGGGTAAGATTCCCCCCCACACCTTCTACTCTGCAGTTGCCGCTCTCTCAACCTTTGCTCATGTGGCAGATGCTCCAGTCCCTTAATTATATTTGGGTCCTTTTCCTGGATTTGCTCCTTAATGTCCATGTCTTTCTTGTTGTAGAGATCCCACAAGTGGACTCAGCAATTCAGGTAAGTCTCATTACCACGACCGAGTAGAGGGGAAGGATAACCTTCCTCAACTTGCTGGCAACACTCTTCCTAAAATAGCCCAGGATGCTGTTGGCCTTCTGTGTCTGGAGGACATGTTGACAGCTCATGGTCAACCTGGTGTCTCACAGAACCCTCATGTCTTTTTCTTCAAAGCCACAGTCAGCCCCTAGTGTGTACTTGTAAACCCTTGCTGGGATTATTTCTCCACAGGTGTAAGAATTTACACTTCCCTTTGATGAACAGCATGAGATTCCTGTCAGCCCATTTCTCTAGCCTGTCTAGGTTCCTCTAAATGTCATCAAACCCTCTGGTGTGTCAATGAGTCCTCCAAATTTTTATTGGCTGCAAGCTTGCTGAATTTACACTCTGCTTCATCATCCAGGTCACCAATAAAAATGTCGAACAACATGGAAACCAGTAACAACACAGGTGATACACCACAAGTGAATGTTCTCAGCTGGACTTTGTGCCACTGATCACAACTCCTTTAGCCGGGCAGTTCAGTCTATTTTCAGTCCAATTCATTGTCCACCTAAATAACCTATACTTATAAATTGTCTGTAAGGACATTATAGGGTACAGCATCAAAACTCTTGTTAAGATAATTAACACCAAACACTCTAAGTTATATCACTCTAGAAGGCTATTGGTTTGGTCAGGCATGATTTCCCCTTCATAAATACATGCTTATTATTTCCAATAATCTCCTCATCCTTCATATGTTTGGAAATGGTTTCTAGGATTATTTGCTGGTTCATCTTAACAGGGATTGAAATGAGGCTGACTAGCCTGCAATTTCCCAGGTATTCCTTCTTGCATTTGTTGAAGGTAGGAGTGATATTTGCTCTCTTCTAGTCTTTAGGAAACTCTCCCAATTGCCACTACCTTTCAAAGATAAACAAATGTGGCCTCAGAATGACTATGGCCAGTTGCCTCAGCACTCTCAGATGCATCCCAGTAAGTTCATGGACTTACATATGTCCAGCTTATTCAAATGTTACATAGCCTGACTCTCCTCCTCTACTGAGGGTCTCCCTTGCTCTAGTCTTTCCTGTGGGCCTCAGAGACCTAAGATTCCTGAAGGCAAGTCTTACCAGCAAAGACCAAGGCGAAGTGGGCATTGAGTACCTTGGTTTTATCCATGTCTTTTACCCCTGGGTCCTCTGCCTCACTCAGCAGTGAGCCCGTATCTTTTCTTGTCTTCATTTTGCTCCTGTTGTACCTGTGAAAGTGCTTCTTGTCTTCCATGACCTTTATCAGTTTCAAATCCAGGTGGTTTGTCTTTCCTAATCACATTCCCATGAACAAATGTTTCTGTATTGCTCCTGGGTCGTCTGACCTTGCTTCCACCTCTTCTGCACTTCCTTTTTATTCCTGAGCTCAGTTAGGATCTCCTTGCTCATCCATGCAGACCTCCTGCTACTTTTGCTTGATTTCCTGTTTGTTGGAATAGGTATTTCTCAAGCTTGAAAATCAAACAGCTTTCCTGGATCCCTCTTATCTTCAGGACCATCTCCCATGTCACTCTTCAAACAGGTCCCTGAGCATGCAAAAACATGCTCTCCTGAAAGACAGAGTTGTGATCCTTCTTTTTGCCTCGTTCCTTACACTCAAGATCTTGAAAATCGCAATCTCACAGTTGTTGTAGCCAAGGTTGTCCCAGCTTTCATGTCCACTATCAGTTCTCGCTTGTTTGTAAGTATGAGGGCCAGCAGAGCATGTAGTCTCGTCAGATTCTTGATCACCTGTGTTGGGAAGTTATCGTCAAAGAATTCCAGAAAACTCCTGGATTGCTTATGTCCTGCTATATTGTCTCACCAGCAGATATAAGGGTGATTAAAATCCACAATAAGTACCAAGGCCGGTGAACCTCAAGCTTCTTCCCACTGAAGGCCTCATCCATTTCTCCAGTATCAGGCAGTTTGTAGCAGTCGTTCACCACAGTGTCACCACCTTTGGTCTATTCTCTAATCCTAATCTATAAACTCTGAGTTGTCTCATTATCTGCCCCCCAGGCAAAGCTTCATGAACCCCTGCTTCTGGCTCACATAAATGTTAACTGCTTTTCCTCTTTGTCCTGAATAGTCCTTTTTAAACAGCCTGTATCCATCTACGGCACCACTTTAGTCATGTGACCTGTATCACCATGTCTCTATGGTCATAATGAGACTGTACTCTTTCAAATGCATGAGACCTTGATTTCTTCTGTGTGGTCTTCATTTTGTGTGCCTTAGCACACAGGTACTTCAGAAAGGCATCTACTTGTGTTGATTTCTCATAAAGAGTGTGAGAGCTTCCTCGATAATTTTTCCCACATAGCAGCACTTTCCTATTTGTGTGTTTGCCCTTGAGATGGTTGAGTGCTTGCACTTCAACCCTGGTTTGGTGTTTCCATGGTCCCTTTTGTCCACCTGAGCCTGAAGCCTTTGTTTCTCAAACCAGTCCACCACTTCCTCCTTGGATTTTGGGCCATCATCTCCCTCCACCACCATTCCTAGTTTAGAGCTCTGCTCACCAGGTTGGCCAGACTGTTGGAAAAGCGCTTTTGTCGTACATGGTCAGATGGATTATGTCTCTTCCTAAAAACTCTTGCTCCTCAAAGAGTGTCCGAAGGTTGTTGAATCTGAATAATTGCTGCTGATGCCAGCTATGCAACTAGTCATTGTCCCAAAGGATCCACCCAGTCCTCCTTAAGCACTTCTCACTTGTCAGCAGAAACAAAGAAAACACCTCCTGAGACCCTATGCCCTTGCTTCTTGGCCCTAGAGCCATGTAGTCGTGCCTGATTCACACCAGGTCTCCCCTGGCAGTACTGGCAGCAGCCACATAGAATAGCAGAAGAGAGAAATAGTCCAAAGGCTGGACAAGCCTCGACAATCTCTCCACAATGTCCTCTATCCAAGTCCCTAGCAACCAGCAAACCTCCTTAGAAAGCAGAGCAGACAGGCAGATATGGAGGCCTCCAGCAACTGCAATGGGGAGAGCTAGGGAAACACCTTAAAGGTCATCTTTATAGCATAGAACCGTATAATAGTTTGTGTTGGAAGGGACTTTTAAAATATCATCTCTTTCCTTGACATGGGCAGAGACATCTTTCAACAGATCAGGTTGCTCAAAGCCCTGTACAAACTGACCTTGAACATTTCAAATTAGTGGGCATCCACACCTTCTCAGAGCAACCTTCTCCAGTGTCTAACCACACTCATCACTAAAAAAACAGATAAACAAAAATTTTTTCCTTATGTCCAATCTAAATGTACCCTCTTTCAGTTTAAAACTGTTCTTGTGCTGTCACTAGAGACCATGGAAAAAACTCTCTCTCCATCTTTATTATAAGCCCCTTTTAATTATTGAAAGGCCACAGTAAGTTCCCCCCAGAGCCTTCTTTTCTCCGGGTTGAACAACCCCAACTCTCTCAGTCTTTCTTTACAGGAACTGATAACACTACAAAATGCTCATAGAGTATTCACAGTTCATAAGTAAGAAAGAAAAAGGTAATTGCCCTTGAAAGATACATTTGAAATAATGAAGATGTATAAATGATGATGAAGAAGATGAATAAATGAAGATGTAAAGAACACTTAATAAAATATGAAGTTATTTTTCGACTGACTGGTTGACTTCCTGCAAGTCAATGGAAACCCATTATCTATTTCCTAACTTTATTTAATTTTGCTAAAAATATTTCTCCACCTTGTCAACACGAAAATGAACTCAATTCAAATTAACTTTGGTACTTAAAGTCAGTTATTTATATTCCATTTTCAAAAACTCTTGTCAAGTGAATGCAGATATGTTTTTAAATATAATTTCTTGAT